CGCACACAGCGAGGGGTGTGGATGTGTGTGGGGAGAGAGAGAGAGAGAGAGAGAGAGAGAGAGAGAGAGAGAGAGAGAGAGAGAGAGAGAGAGAGTTGACTCAGCGTGGTGTGTGTAGGGATTGGGGAGGAAGAGTGAAATATGGAAAGAAATATCGATAGGCTGAAATACCTGGCGCAGGGCAGTTGATCATAAGGCCGCTCCAAAAAGAAAAGACTAAGGGAGAATGTTGAGGAGGAAGATCTTGAGTAGGAAGGAGACGTGGTGGTGGAAGAGAGACAGACAAGGACAAAGAAGGTGCGAGGAAGGAAGTGTGTTGGGTGAAATGCATTTTTCTCTCTCCTGCTGTCCCTTTCTCCTTCTTGCCCGTGTGCAACCGTGTGGAGATGTTGCAAGAAATGGAGCGATCTTGATAACGAATGGAGCGTTTACTTCCACCGGATAAAAAAAAAGCAGCACTTCTTAGGTCGGGCGTGACGAAGTGCGGCCGGTCGAGGGAGGAAGGGGGAGGTAGGGAGTAGGACGGAGGGAGGAATGGAAGTAGGAGGTCAGGTGGTGATCAGGCTGAGGAAGGAAGGGGTGGGATGAGATCGAGGGAAGGAGGAGGCGAGACAGACATCAGGGGAACGAAGGGGGCGAGCGAAGGGGAATGAAGCGGCCAGGCGGACGGAGGCCAGAGGGAGGTTGAAGAGAAGGTGCGGAGGAGGCCTGTAGGGGGCGGAAAGGCGGCAGAGAGTAGGGCGAAAGCAGGAGGTCAGGTGGAGATCGGGACAAGGAAGGAAGGGGAGGAAGGAGATTGGGGGAAGGAGGATGTCAGTGCAAATTGGGCGGAGGAAGGAGGAGGAAGGAGGAGATAGAGGGAAGGAGGTCAGGCGGAGATTGGTCGAAGGAAGGGGAGTCAGGTGGCCAGGCGAGGGAGGCCGCTCCCTCTCTCTCTCTCTCTCACACACACACACACACGCACACACACAGAGGGGATAGAGAGGCGGAGGCAGAGAGGAGTTGGCGAGAGGAGATGGCGGGAGGAGATGGCGGGAGGAGGTGGACAGAAGGAGGTGGAGGGGAGGTGGCGGAGGCGGGGGAGGAAAGAGAGGATCTGGCGGGGGGAGGCAGAGGGGAGGTGGGCGGAGGCCGAGGCCGGAGGCGGTGGCGCAGGCCGCGATCTCTCTCTCTCTCACACACACACACACACACACTGGGGATAGGGAGGCGGAGGCAGAGGCGGCGAGGAATTGGCGGGAGGAGATTGTGGGAGGAGATGGCGGAAGGAGGCGGACGGGAGGTGGCGGAAGCGGGGGAGGAAAGAGAAAGGATCTGGCGGGGCGAGGCAGAGGGGAGGTGGGCGGACGCCGAGCGGAGGTGGGTGGAGGCCGAGGCTGCAATCTCTCTCTCTCTCTCTCTCTCACACACACACACACACACACACACACACAGGGGATAGGGAGCTCTCTTTTTCTCTCTCTCTCTCTCTCTCTCTCTCTCTCTCTCTCACACACACACACACACACACNTCTCTCTCTCTCTCTCTCTCTCTCTCTCACACACACACACACACACACACACACACACACACACAGAGGGGATAGGGAGGGGGAGGCAGAGGCGGAGAGGAATTGGCGGGAGGAGATGGCGGAAGGAGGCAGACGTGAGGCGGCGGAGGCGGGGGAGGAAAGAGAGGATCTGGCGGGGGGAGGCAGAGGGGAGGTGGGCGGAGGCCGAGGCCGGAGGCGGTGGGGCAGGCTGACGAATCTCAAACGCCACACCTGAGGTAAGACGCCTAACATTTGACAGGTGCATGAGGGCCACAACGCCCTCTTTCTCCCCCATCCCCTCCCCTTGCCACACCCCTCTTAATGCCATGCGACTTCTTTTGCTTTGCGAGCGAAGCCGCAACAGGTCATCTAGTCATATAAAGATAGGGGCAAAAAAAGTTGCACACCCAAAATTGTGCACTCTGCCACTGTCGTAGGCTGACCCTGCCTGCAGCCAGTGTGTATACAGCCACGGGCCTTGGATTTCCTGGGGTGCAGTGGTTTAACATCGCATGTAACCATGTCGAAATCACTGCAGATCTATTTTGGTGATGTGATTCAGCATCTGTTTTCATGCATGCATCCCTGGCGTAGTCATGGACTGACCTGTCCAGGCCGGAATTGCTAGCCTTGAAGTTGTCATTTCTATGGAAATGTTTTGTGATAGCCAGTGGTATGATGGGAGATTGAAAAAATAGTGGCCTATGGGAATTATGCTCTTCCCTTTGCATGTCTATGAGAGAGACTACTGCCTCTGTGCATCGCCTAACTGAGTGGTTGATTTTGGCTGTTATCCTGGTGTGTGTGATTTGGCAGTTTGCACAATTAACAGGACTGTGCGTGCAGTACGAGGCAGATGCTCGCCCCCCCATCAGTAGGGTAGTCAAGGCATTGACGACGCTTTTACACCCGCCTGTGCCTGTGCACGAGTAAGGCGAGGAATTTTTTTCGTTTTGGTGAGGGCCTCAGCCAGTTGTTCTTTTCGTCTGGATTCGAGCTCACATATAGTGTGGGCTTATTGCCGTATCCTGCATTCCACGACGTTCCGTCTCTATCGCCTGTTGTTGTTGTTGTGGTTGAAAACTGGGTATCAGGCAAGAGATCTCTTCTTTTCTCCTCTCTGTAGCCTACTGATGGGTGATTTTAGCCCATCATATTTCACAGGTCTTCTGTTTTGTCAATGCTACCACATTCTATTCTATGTAAGTCACCCGACAGTGAGCCGTGTGCTATTCATTCAAGGTAAACCTTCGTTTGCTTAAGGACCTCGGTGTGAAGGTATCGTATAGAGGCTGTAGAACCTCTCACTAAATGCCTGCGGGAGGTGCCACTCGCAGCTCATCCGAGCGAAAAGGGAAGAAGCGGATCTGGCATATCTGGAGGAAACTCGTTTTGTCAACCGAGTTTTTGCAAGCAATTTGCAGCAGAGGAAGGGCACACTTGAGGTGTGCTGAAACCCCTTGGGCACGTCATGGTTACGGAGGGTGGCGTTTTCATCGTTAGTTGCAGTGGAAGTGCATTGGCACTGAACCAGAACATCAGCCCCAAGTTGCTGTCGGCAGAGGATGGATACATGTGGATGGTAGAACAGGAAATTGCTTCTGGGATGGATACAAGTGGGACCTGGACCACAGTCTGTAAATCATTGCTCTCCCCGAGTCCCTCTTCATTTATTTCTTTTGGTATGTCAATAGGTGTTTTCTGTCCCATTGTGAAATAGCTGAGTGAGGAGTGAAGGGGCGGTTGCAGGCGAGGAAGACACAGAGAGAGAGAGAGAGAGAGAGAGAGAGAGAGAGAGAGAGAGGGGAGCAGGAGGGGCGTTATTGTAAAAGGGGCAGCAAGGTTCCTGCAACCGCCTCCTCTTGACGTCGAGGTGCCTTACTGAATGGTGCTGGGACTCGCACCTGTCTATAAGTATATATATGTCCTCTTCTCCCTCTCTGCCTACGGCTTACCGGGCAGTTCTATTTGACGATATATATATATATATATATGTATGTCATAGGCTGATGTGAGAACATATGTACGGGTGATGAAGGGCTATTTGCCAATTGGTAAGTTCAGTTCTATGTCGTCTTATTGCCAGGGAATAAAGTTGGGCATCGTAGGAGAAGTAAGGAAGGTCGTCTGCTACTGGGAATGCGAAGTTTGCCTTTTGAGCACTAGAACACGGTCTGCGTCTTGCACTTTGCACTGTTTTTTAAGCGCAGAAAATGTCAACGTGTCAAAGTCTTCACTCGGAAATTTAGATAGGGTAATGTTCTGCAGCTTGCCCATGGAGTTGCTCGAATGTCGGCGTGTGAAAGTCCTTACAGGTGAACTGGGATAGTTTGCCAATGCAGTTGCTCACGGGCTGGAACGTGTCTGTAGATGCCATCTCAAGTCGGCAGTACTGTGGAGGATAGAGAGGACAAGAGAATGATTCTCGACCCATATACACATATATAGTGGTGGGGAGAAGAATACATTCGCTGCCCTGTTGCCACCGAAAGTGGGGTTGCTCAACACTGGGCCACAACAGGGCAACCATTACAGTATATGAAGAAAAAAAAGTAGTCCGTCATATCTTTGGTCGTGTCCCTTGTGCACGATTCTCGTGAGCCCAGCTTGAATGAGGTGGATGACATGCAGGTGACGTCTCATTGTGGGACTGTTCGGTGAAGGACCACAGGTGCGCAATGAATGGTCTGCAGGTCCTCTTTACTGGATGACCCGGTGCGTGGTGGAGAGACTCTTGTGCGTCCTCTGTCTGATGTCTGTTTACTCCAGGGGTATTGCATGGGCATCGTCCAAGGAGGAGACGGTTCTTGTGGACCTCTTTGCGCGCAGTATCATCGTGGAGATTCAACTCTCTGCTGGTTGTAGAATGATTACCGTCAGGTTGGGCCAGGTATTGGCGAAACTCTTGGTCTCTGAAAGTATTTGGTGAATCGTCAGACGAAGTGGGGCATAAATATATATCTTGGTTAGATAGCTCGATCGATGCGTGGCAGATGCCGTCCTGCTCCAGCTGCCAACTCCAGGGCAACTCCAGAAGACATCAAGTTGTAGCAGAGGGTCTAGAGTGTTTTGCGCGGTAGCGGACTTATCTGTGGCAGCAACGGGAAGGAGGGTACATTACATCGCTTGCTTGGCTGGCAGTTCTGGTACGTTGGCATTTCAGGCCAGACATGAGGAGTCGGTATACTACTTTCAATCTCTACGCCACATTCGCTTATTATCACTTTTCTTATTCTGAGATTGGATTTGTGTGAACTCACCATGAATAAAGTTGAGTAGCGTCTGCAGCAATCTCCTATTCCCTCTTCATCACCCTTGGTAGACTTCCCCCATGCAGGACAGGACCTCAAAGTTGAGTAGCGTCTGCAGCAATCTCCTATTCCCTCTTCATCACCCTTGGTAGACTTCCCCCATGCAGGACAGGACCTCCTCGTCAGTCACCCTTGGCATATTTCCCCCATTCAGGACCAGATGAAAGAATGTGTCCGCTGTGTGATGCTTTTTACAGCAAGGGCTGTGTGGTGCTTTGACAAGCAATAGTGCAGCGTGTGGTTGTGTCTGCTCCTGTGCTTCTCTGAGCTAGCAGAGTGGTCCTCTCTGCAGTTGCAGCTGGCTGGAGCAGTATTGCTATTTCCTTTTATCATGGGCGTGTCTAGGTTCTGCCGTAGCCTCTACGAGGCGTCATTCTCTTTGAAGAGGAGTCTGTGCATGGGGCGGTTGTTCTCCAGATGCCCGCCCACGAAATGCGTTTTATCATTTATGCTCTGCGGAAGTGGTCCGTGATTCGTAGGTGCAGCAGCGGCTCCTGGGTTGCCGTGTCAGTCCCATGGGCACTTCTTGTCAGCGGTGTCCATGGCGTGATAGCTGTTGCTTGATGTTGTGACTAGCGCGCTAGCATCCTTTCAACAGGCGCACCTCAGCCTCGCACCCGAAATGAGGATGGCTGGTCGGACGTCGGAATATGTGCTCTTGTGGCACACGTTTTTCTTAATCGGTTGCTGCTCTCCGCCTATGAGCTTGACACATTGTTTGTTTGTTTTTTGACACACGTTTCGCTGCCTCTGCGTGCACAGACACAGCATGGGGAATTGTGGCTGACGCTGTGATCGGCTCACGGATTAGACTGCAGATCGGGACGGTAGAGCATCCATGCATTTGTGACGGTTAAATCTGGCCAAGTACGGTGCACCTTCAATATGCACGTACTCCTGAATAGCTGCTCTGTACTGGCCTGAGCACCACTGTGGCACCTGCAGAAATACGAGTCATTTGTTGGATTGCACGGCAGCTCTTATACCCTGAATGAGCCTCCTATTGTTGTCGTCAGGGGGGGGGGCAGGGCGATGGAAAGCCAGAATTTTCATGAGAAATAGTAGTCTGTTTGGTCTTGCGATTTTTGAAACGCAGGCATGCGTTCCGTGAGGGTGCATCTCCTCCCGATTCGGCGTTGAATCTCTCTTACCATTTTGGTTTCACGACCATGGTGGTGGAGAGGAGGACGGTGGGCGGTGATGGGCGCGTCGAGGAAGGAAGGTCTCATCACTGTTGGCCTTGGGATCGTCAACATCCCAACCGGAGCCATTTCTGTTGTCTGCCCGCAGGATCTGTGTTGCTATAAATGGTTGCTACTTGTGTTGTTGTTAAGCATAATGATCCCCTGAGGAAAAGTGTTCTCCGTGTCACGGAATTCGAGATGTGCTCTTCTGCTGTGCTCTTTGCACTTTCACAGTTGCCTTTCTGTATATGGGCGGTTACTCAATGCTGCTATGTTTTGTTTCTCTTTCTGTTTGCTGAAACTTTTTTTGTCTGTGTGTTTGGAGGGGGGTGAGGCGCATGTGTGTGTGGGTGTGTGTTGGGGGGTGGGGAGAGAGAGAGAGAGAGAGAGAGAGAGATGGTCAGGAAGAGTTTGTGGGGTCTTGAAGGGGAGGGGGTCAGGAGAGAGGACAAGCGGTAGGGATGGCATATGCACGGAGGGAGAGCGAAGGATGAGAGGGAGAAGAGCTACTTGAGTTACAGAGGGTACTCTTGTGGCTATTTTTGTCATCATGTATTATATCATGAGGTATAGTACATTATGTGGTCAGCATGGGTGGGTCTCTAGTCTCTTGGTGGTCATTAGGCGATTGCGGACATGATTAATGGGTGGACCAGACATAGTGTCGATCATCAGACAAAGCTTCAAATGATACCGGAAGCGGTTGTCGAAAGGCAATCGATCCCCAGATAATGTTTCATGCTACTCAGTCTTTCTATTTTTATTGAGAATTTGAGATAATGATTACCATGAAGAGAACACCAATGTACTCCGTGGATGAAGGCTTGCTGATTGAAAACTGCCATGTTTCAGACAAGTGACGTCCCAATTTCCTTTAACTAAAGTTTTATTTTGTTTGTTTTTTTTTTAAGTTTTTTCTTCTTTCCCCCCCCCCCTTAACTCAAGTTCTGTCACGGAAAGGGACATCCTGACGGCCGGGGTTTGGTTGAGCTGATGAGATAATGGTGCTCTGAAGAAAAGCTTCCTTGAGTCGTCATCGATACAGTTCAGCTAGGCTACCAGAGTGGCCCGGGACCACTTGCCAGGCCGGGCCAAAAAAAATAGTAATAATAAAAAATTAGAAAAAAAAAAATAACTTTTTTTTTTTTTTTTTTTTTTTTAA